AGAGCACAGAGGGAAAGGATACGCCAAAATCGTGATCAGCACTTTGGCCAAGAAACTCCATGCTGAGGGTTACCCGGTGTTCTGCTACATAGAAGAGGACAATGTGCTGTCCTACAAGCTCTTTAAAAACCTGGGCTTCATTGAGGATCCTTCTTACAGGGCTGCATGGTTGGAGTTCAATTTTTCAGATTAGATTCATGAAACATCTGTACTCATTTTTATCAGGTTCATAAATGTGTAAAAATATAATAAAATGAATGAAACACAAATAAAAACATAATTGTTAACATTTATTATTTATTATCCCTATAAAATTGATAGGATCTAGATCAGAATAAGATCTATGGAAATATAGTATGAAATGCCCAGAGTTGTTCCCTTTCACAATGTCAAAAAAAATCCCTCCGAGAATTCCTGGATATGGATCAACTCCATCACTTCTAAGTTGGGCCAACTCCCAACAGCCATAACATAAAAAGAAAAAAAGAAGATAAAATTATAGGACAGAATTTAAAAGTTATATCTAAATTAAACTGAGCTCCAATGATTCACATTCTGAGCCAGTATCTTCCTATTCTTCTTTTGGCTGCTCCATTTAAGGGATCACCAAAGCGGATGATTTGCCTCCATCCCAGCTTTGACCAATCTGGTATGGAATTATTCTGAGCCGCATAAAGACTTGGCCAAAACTTTTCCTGGGTCCCTGACACAGTCCTACTCATTTATCCAGACGTGAGACTGGCACAAGGACTATAGTGGGTTGTGCTACAAAATCAAATTAATTTATTTTTCTCATATTCTCACACCATTCTCACTTATATCAGAGAGACTGGGGTGTCTGTAGAGAGTGGAGAGTCCACAGCTGAGGGGAAGAATAAATAAGTAATATGAGGTAGTTATGTGATCTCTCGGCGAGGACAAGTAAGTGGGGTTAATTGTGTTATAGGAAGACTAATGAGAAGAAACTATTTTATTTGGCTGTTAAAGAGGGCAGGATTCAGCTGTGTAGGCCAAAGCAATGTCAATAAGGTAACCCAATAATATGTTTTCCCCTGGTACTGAGTGCTTACAATCAAACACCACAGGAGCCAAAAGATTAAATAAAAGAGATAAACGATTTTAAAAACTGATTGTAGACCACTATTGTATGGATTAACAAAACAGTCTGATACAGCTAATTGATTCCCCACTAAAAGGCTGCAATGTCTCAGTATGAACAAGAACCACAATAGATTTCAGCTTATTCAGCCTGCAGTCACGAATGTCATGCCACTGTTGCCTTCAATGTGTCTTTTGTGTCCCTTTTCTCACACATACACTCCCGGAGATGTGTCAGCAACTTCCCCTACTCCTCTGCTGTGCAAGAAGTCGTCCATTGTTGTGGTTGCCTGTTCCTTCATATGAGCCAATCCCTTTATTTTAAACACCACTGAGATTAATAGTAAATGTGGCTCCAAAAGCTATTTTTTCATATCTTGCTGTAATTTATTCATACCTCACAGAAATATGTTCTCTTTCTTACTTGAATTGCTGTAAAATTGTCAGCACACCCATTGTTTAACGTCCCATTTTCTGTTTTAATAATTCAAAATATAAGTTTCACATTGCTCAGAAAGTGTTTCAGACATTCTTCCACTTATTGTATTGCGTGAGCAGTATTACATTTTATACCAGGATTTTCCTTTGGTCTCCAGAAGAAAGCAGAAATGTTCCCAGCTGACAGGAGTGACACCTGGTGTGGTCTTCTGCTGCACAAGCCCATCTGCTTCAA